ATAACCACAGGTTTCTACTTTGACATTAATATTTTTTATCCAATAGGATAAAGTGTTGTCAGGTAGATGAAAGAGTATCTTTTTAATGTATAGAAAAACAGGTTATTTTGTTCCCATTTCATACAGCTTAGTCCATTCCACTGCTTAAGCAACTGAGTTCTTTGCCAATGAAGTAGCATGATGTTCTTGGATATTCAGATGGGAGACAAAAAACTTTGAGCTATGGATCTGAACTGCTACAATTACCAATTATCAAATATATGCATTTTTTTTTCTTTTAGAGGAAGAGTCTAGGCAGAGGGAGATGATGCAGAGTTAAGAAGTTTGTTTAAAGGCACGGGTGTATAAAAAGTCTTCATAACCCAAAAATCTTATAACCCAAAGGAAGTTTATTCTATATTTCACTTATTTAAACCATGAAATGATGGGAGTGTTCATCAACTTTGTAAATGATACCACTGGGAGTTAGAATTCTTGATAGAAATAAAGTTGAAATGAGAGGCAATAAAACTAAATATAATGTGTGGAAATGATGGCTGGAGATATTCTGCATGCAAGAAGGAATCCAACCACCAAACCTAAAAGAACACAATTTCTATCCTTTTGGATATGTGCATAATTGAAGTTTGGATGACATTTGGAAAGCATTCTCTAGAGTTTAGGAAGCTGATCAAAGGTGAAGATCAAAGGTGATGATACGACCTGACTAAAGTAGCAAAATAAACTTGACTTTGTGAATTCCCCGAAAGAAAAATGAATAACCAGACTATTTATTTACTAATACAATATCTGTATGCTGCCCGTTTCTGTGAAGAATTATCAACACACACATCTTGCAATGAGTGAGATATGAAGGACTTAGATTAACTATTCCAAAGGTCAGCATATTTTTTCTTTAGGACAAATAAAACTGGCTACTTGTTCTTTTAAAACATAGGTATGAATTAAACCTGAGATTTTTGTGGCTTTAAATACTATTGCTTGCATGTTCTTCAACTGCCTGTGGAATTTAAAGCCAACCAATTTTTCACTTCAAAAGTTAACTCAGAATCTCTGAGTATAATCAATAAATTCAAATACATTTTTTTTTCCTTTTTGGGAAGACATACTATTTTTTGTCTTGAGCCTTCAGAAATATAAAAGTTCCTTTTTTTTCTTTCCAGGTCATTAAAGATTTGATCAATGTTTTATCAAATGTTCTATTTTTAAAGAAACAAAATATTTTTGCTTGACATTTAGTCAACAAAGGAAAAGAACTCCTTGCCTGATAATGGAGTAAGAAGAGAGAACTGCTAAGTCACTTCATAGATTATTCTAGTCTACTGTAACTAAAGGCCACACAGTAGCTTCCACCAACAGCCATAATAACACTTATAATGGCAGAAGCTACCCACGGCTTTATCCTCATAGCTGGGGGTGTTATTATTAGGAATCACTCTTACTTAGAATATTTAAGGTTCTGTGAAACACATATTTTGAAACCATAGGTTCCCATTCTCAGGAAGAGAATTTCCTGATTTCATTACCTGTTAAAATAAATTTGCATCATAATTTTGCATTAAAGCAATAGCGAAAGAAATTACATTTTCCAAGGGAAAAAAATGAACGTCTTGCTGCTTTCTGAGCACTCTTTCAAGAGTCTGTAAAAGCAAAAAATCTAGTTGGTGGGGAAATACAGAAATAGAAGGAAACTATTTATTAAAAATAAGCTCTTAATAAGAGTCATAAAGGAAACCAATGTATGATTCAGAGGCAAGATAAAACAAAAATCAATAGCTTTTTTCAAATGTGGAGAATTTATAATTCAGACAAAAGTAGTTCCAGAAACTGAACAATCCATTTAATTAGACTAGAAATACAGGAGCTTCAATTTAAAATGTCTTCCTGAGGCACCAGTTGGTAGAATAAGCATTTTCCCCTCTTTTCAGCAATACCTTTTGATTCAGGTCATAAAATCTCTGTGATCCACAGAAGTCATTGCACAAAGGCAATGAGTGAAGAGTTTTACATTTAACTAAAAATTAGCCATTAGAGGGGAAAATTATCACCTTGGAGTCACGTTATTGTAATAAGGTTTATTCCTAGTGCCAGTATTTAAATTGCCCTAGCATTTAGAGGGAAAGGAATACATAAATGATGCCTCAAGAATGATAGTAATTTGGGAAAGCATGAATGTGCAGAGTCAAATGTGTTTATTTTACATAGATAGTAGAATATTTAGTGTTAGAGATGCTGACCGCATTGCTAATTTAATGTGATAAATATTACAAGCATTGTACTGAACATGTTTTTGTGCAAGACCTCAGACCTATTTTATTAAGTCTTTGGCATTGTGGACAAGCCAGGAGCATTCATGTTTTTTGCTTATGTGTTTTCACTCAAAGGATGATCAATTTCTTTTCCTTTCAGAACTCAAGTTTTTCTAAGCTTAATCTAACTGTGAATTTCTGAAAGAAGAAAACTTGAATTCTAAAAGTAATGTAATTGATCATCCTTTGAGTGAAAACACTCAAGCCAAGACAGGTTTATGGACCAAAGGAACTAAAATTTAAATAAAGTCCCTGTATGTACACATTAGCTCCTGTGAATCCAAGCAAGTCTATGATCATTGCATTATGGGAAGAATGGTTTTTCTACAAAGATGGACTCCTCAGAAAATACTAAATACTTGCTAAAGATGTATTATTATTTTTTCATGATTCTGCATTTTTAGACGTGTAACTTTGGCATATAGACAGAACATTAGGTACTGGTCACTCCCAACCTTGGCACCTTAAGAATTAAGGGGATTTTGAAATTAAAGACACAGTGGCTTAATTGAGAATGAGTGTATTAAAAGAATTAAAAGTGCACATGAAAAGCTGTAAGACAGAATTACAGTTCTCAGAAATATCTTAAGGGGAACATATTATGTCCCGTTAACGTGTAGTGAACATGTATTTTGTATTTGTTTCTGTATGAGGAAAAGAAGAGAGAATTCATGGGTGGTGCTGGAAACAAGAGAATAATAGGCTTGGAAACTGATCATATGAGGGATATTGGCAAAATCTGATTGCTTTTGCTCCTGATTTAATCATGGACCTAAATATTAAGTTCCTGACCAAAGTACCCTGGTCTTTGGTCTGAAACATAATTATTGCTTTTTGTGCGAAATTTAGGGAAATATATGAGATTAGGTCTGGAGACCAAAAGGTGCCCTGAAGAGAGGTGATTACCCTTTGACATTTACATAGTCTGCTGTGGGTACTAGATCATACATAAGAAGAAAGTTTTTTGATGTGCTTTTCTTAAATGGTAATGAAGATTCTCTTTTCAGACTACTGTATCAAATTACTATTGGAGGAACTGGTGATTTAATATTTCTTGAAATAGAAACATATTACTAAATATATTATTTTAATAAAACTTCAGACACATTAAAATGTATTGGGATTTTTTTCAGAAATAGTTGAAGTTTATCTTTTATTCAATTGTTAGTATGAGAAATAAAAAATAATCTATAGTAGTGATGGCGAACCTTTTAGAGACTGAGTGCCCAAACTGCAACCCAAAACCCACTTATGCATCGTTGAGTGCCGGGTGGGCATGGCCCATTGGATGGGCATGGCTGCGGTGGTAACGGCAGACTGGGTGGGGCTAAAAAGTTCAATCAATCAATTCCAACTTTGCAATATCTTTTTTCCCCGCGAGAAGTTGAAATTGACTGATTGAACTTTTTTTTTTTTTTGCACATGGCAGAGGAGGCCTAAAGTGAAAAGATTTTATAAAACCCAGCTGAAGGCCTAGGACTGGAGCAACTGCGCGCATGCCCACAAAGAGGGCTCTGAGTGCTGCCTCTGGCACCCGTGCCATAGGTTCACCACCACTGGTAAGGAGAGTCATAGATTCATAGAAATGATATGTGCTATGTAAGTTATCAAGTGCAAAAATTCAACTAAAGGGTTCCCAATTGATGGCTGCATAGCTACTGCTTGAACTCATTCAAAAGTTGTTCGGTATCTTGCTTAGTTATAATAGTTCCATTGCTGAAAATCTTCCTACTATTATGATCGTTTTCTTTACTTTCAAGTGAAATCAGCCTTCCTATAATTTAAATATACATATCTTGCAGTCGTGAGGTCTTGAACATACTGACTTCCTTTTGCATGACATTCCTTCACATAGTCCTAGAAAACTGTTGTCACGTCTACCTACATTTTTTCTCTCTCTCCAAGTTAAACATAGCCAGCTGCATAGTGTCTTCAAAAAGGAAGTAGTTCCAGGACCTTCAGTTGAACATATTGCTCATCTACCTATGAAAAACAAATTGGCTAGAGTAAGTTGATTATTCCATGAAGGAGGCTGACTAATCTTATATTCTGTTCAGGGAGCGCTTTCATTATGAGCACTCATTATGGTTTCAGCCTAGCAAGATGAAATTGAAAATGGAGAGATATTTGCAAGGCTATCTGCAGGATATAGTAAAAATATCAAGATAGCAGCCGTGACAGTGTGATTGAAGCATATTCTGTTTTTTATGTATGCCACGCATGACTCACATAAAAATCAGGCAAAGCCTTGATTAAACCATCAGGGGTGCCATTTTGACTATTTTCACTATACTCTGCAGAAAATCTTATAAATCTATGCCTCTCTGTTGCCTCCCTTATTCTGATTTTGGCTTTTTCCCACGGTTACAAAAAGATGGAACAGATGTCGATCAAATGGCTAATTTGATTTCTCTTCGAGTTATGGCTTGGACAAGGTTGGTGGACATTAGGGAGTTTATGAACTTTCAGTTCCTTAATCTCTCCCATCTCATTTCTGTCCTTATCTCCAAGAGGCCAATTTGAACAGTTTTCCAGCTACAGAAAAAATTAGCCACAGAAGTTAGTGAGGAACAAACACTGGCTCTGACATCAGAAAAGAAACCTGAAAATCATATGGCACCAAGCATGCTGTCTTTGACACCCCAAAATTACATCCTAAGACATCAATGGAATGCGTTTAAAATGAATTAAGTTTCACGAGCTAATAATCTTATAAAACCAGCAATGGTAATGTTTTATTATTGTTTATTATTTATTACAGAAATTATTGTACTTACAAATCATCACCCTATTATAGTTCTTCAGAATGTATTTCTTCAGTACAGCTATGACAATGTTTTTTGATTATTTTAAAACTTAGATTCCATATGCAAAACACAACAAATAAACATCATGTTCAGAACATGTCAGTACTTGAATATGGTTGATGGCAAAGTTTTAGTATATAAAATATCAGTAATAGATAGCATCAACAATATTTACAGGCCCAAATAAATGTCTGTGAAAAGTTATTAAACAAAAGAAAGAAAACCAGGGATATGCCTGAAGCCTAGCTGCAGTGCTAATACAGTTAAGGACTCTTAGTCCAATCAAGGCCTATGAAGAGGTTCAGGATAACTGAATGCAGAAAAATGTTTTGCTATTTTGGTAACAAAATAGCAGGCCACTGACATGAACTACTGATGTAAAGTTTTCTTCATAAAGTCCTCTTGATCAGTAATATAGCATTTTTCTAGCATATTAATTGATAATTCAAGATGGCGATTCAAAATCATTTTCCTTGCAATGATTCATAGACATATCTGTATCACAGATTACGGCAATCTTCCCTTTTCTAATTCTGCAGACTTCTATTGCACATTTCTCAATGTCACCAGTCTTTTTCTGCCTGGCTGACTTTATGTCTCCACTTTCAAGTGTTGATAATAAAAAAAAACAAATGGTTATGAGTGAGTCTTTGTGGACCTCTCTCTCTGTGCAAAATGCTATTTTAAAGTAAGAGATGGAGTTTAGGAAGCAGAAATTCAAATCAAAATGTGGCATAATTAAAATCAACACAATGATACAGTATATAAACTGACGAAGTTTACATGAGCTTTTTGCAAATATTGACAGCAAAAGCATGTAATAATAAGCAGTGTCTATATTCAGGGGATTATATCAAAAGCAAAGATTCCAGCACTGGTGAGGGTGTGAAACAGCAAACATTTTACTTGGGCACAGACACAAAATGTGACTATATTTCTACCCAGGTGTCACAGGAGTTAAATAAAAAGAGACCAAATCATTTAGTTGATTAGGGTTGAAAATGGCTTTCTGGAAAATACAAGCCTTTTTAGTTGGATTTGACACACATGACAGCACTTTAAGTAAATGAGAGCCATACAATCAATATGTGGTACTCTATTAATTTAATATACTCCTGTACTCAAGGCAGAGTTTTGCAGAATAACATCAATCCCATTGTAAAGCATCCTAAAGGCATCAATTCTGTTGTTCCCATGTATGTTTAGTATACTATTCGACTTGTACAGCTTCAGCCTATCTTTCCTCTGCCAGAGTTACATATAGTTGAATTGTTCAGCCCAAATCAAGCATTCACTATGACTGCTTGGCTCTGGAATCATCCTAAAATTTTTCTGAGCTCTTTGAATCAACAGATGGAAGAAGAGAAGATGAGGAGAAGGAAGAAGAAGATGACTGTTTCCATGGAGGGGGATGATGAGGGCATTGTGACATAATTACGCAATTGCTGTGATTTTTATCCACTACAATGCACAAAATTTTATACTTCAGGGAGTGCACAATAAAATAGATTAAATAAAGATTTAAAGGCAACATAATTTAAGGTTTCTGGCTCATTGTATATATATGAAAAGCAAGGAGAAAAATGATCTAGTGAGAATGAAGATATATAAACATTTAATTTCTATTTGTTGAGACTTTAACCTGAAAAATAACTTATATCATAGTTATTAAAGGTGTTAGTAATAATAAGAAACACAATAATTTTGTAAGCAAAGTAATGTATACATCAGCACAAACTCTTTTCAATCAACAGAGTCACTGAGACAGTTTTTCTTCCTGTATTTATACTATCACAATAGTTATAGGTCATGAATTGGATAGGAACACAGAAATGGCTATGCCTTAAAGACTCTTGTTTTGAAGTAATTTTAGATTTTGGATTTGGATTTCTGAATTTCAAAGAACAAAGTTGCTACATATCTTCTCTACAGCCATTACTCTCTCATACTAGCATACTGCAAATGAGTCTACACGTTCAACTCTAAGAGATTACTATCTCCTTGTCCAGGCTACCATGATACAAGAATGCATTCTGTGGTATGCCCCTCTTAAATATAATGATGTATGTTAGAAAACAGCTAATAAAACCCAAGAAAGTTTGATAAACTTAAGGAAGCAGAGATGCTTCTTGGCTTGTATCGGAAATGTTTAGAAACCTTTGATAGAAATATTGGACTAGGTTTAGATCCAGCAGAAGACATGGGCCAAACCTTTTATGGAGTCATATTTCTAATAGATGTTTTTCTATTTTCTATTTTCATGACAAAGTAGTTAGACTTAAAGTTTAGAACTTCACACAGAAAACATTTTTATCTATAAAACATCAGGAGCAAGTAGATATTCCATACCCTAATTGCATATACATACAAATGCATATTATATACAATAATTGATAGTCAATGTTTGGCACTCCTGGTAAGAATTTAAGATTAAATTTTGGAAGGATCATAGCATGGACAGGTATTCTGGCTCTAAATATTTGTCCAATTCCACCACTCTTTGATATTGTTAATGTTTTATTGACTTGTTTATAGTTCATTTACTCCAAGTTTTGTACAATTTCTGAGGCAGCACTGCTAAACTCTTATCTCACTTAAAAGAATTTTAAAGCAATGTGGCCTATAGAAAATGTTTGATGTGACAAACATTTAGAGAACAGAATCCACCACTTGTTCTGCTCTTCAAACAGGGCTTTAAAAACCTGTAACGTAAACAAGATATATTGTAATTATTGTAGACCACCACAAGAACATTTAACATAGATATTTAAAATATCATTTTGGGTGCAAAGCATATTAAAAGTATCTGACTGCAAAAATTGTATAAAATACAGAACATGTTCCTTCTTTGCTTCCTGGGCCCTCCAATTAAATATTTATCACCTGAATGGAGTTTCACACTGATTCTAATTAGGTGCACAGAAAGGGCACAATGGACAAATTATATAGCCTGTTGTAATAGATAAAGTGAGCAAATGTTAATTGCTTATACTATACAATATATTTTTTATCATGCCAGTGTTTTGTGAAGTACAAATAGTAAAACTGAATCTTACTGATTTAATGGGAAGAGACAGAAAGGTGAAAGGTAATGATAAAATGCAAACTACATTAACATTGTCATATAAATGTAATGCATCGCCTGTGTAAAATAATATAGTAGCTTTTCAATGGTATTTTGGAATACTTCATGAAATTGCCAGCTAATGTTGATTGGATATTATGACATCCAATCAACATGTACTTTTCGTGTAGTTTTTTAAACAGGAAAATTCCTGTGAATTTGCTTTTAGAAGAAAATAGGAAGCACCTAGTTATGCCCAGTCAGCACAACAGCTGACACAATCCTGTAATATATGAATTTTAGTGGGTTTTTTTTACATAGTCACAAAAGAATGGTGCTTAATTTAGGCTGCATATTGTCAAATGATTATGAGTGATTTTTCAATACGAGTTTGAAATATTTGGGATACTTTCAAGAAAGAGAATTTAATATTCTGTGCATTTGTTTAATACTTACAAAGGAAATTTTCTGTCTGGAATCTGTTATGTGCCTAATAGAAAGGATTGTTGCTATTTGTTGAGTGAGATTGATTTTTTGGGGGGTATTGCAAGGCTACAGTGCGTTAATTGTAAGAAAGCATCTTGCTCTCATCAGTTTCCATTCATTTTCTGTCATCAAGATATTATTACTCCATGTATGAAGATAAAATTACTTTTTTTCAGACAGAATGGCTTGAGGACTATGGGAAAAGTTTTTTAAAAAACTATCTATAATAAAGTCTTCTGACTTTGAAGACTCTGGCATGTATTGTCTCCTATCTGTCATTCATCTCTATGAGAATTAAAACTTTACCGTACAATTTGATCAGCAGATGAGCATTCTTAAATTTTGTTTGCATGGAACAGATTTTATATGATGAAAAGTTTTGCTATATTCAATGGGATGAAGTATTTGGTTTGGGTGGATTGTAATTTAATTTTAAAATAAGAGAGCAAAGTCTTCTGAAAATAGCCCATCAGTCATTAAAAGCAGTGCTCTATCCTGCTACATAACATTATACAAAAAAGGATGTGCACATTAGAACTCCAACAGCAAAAAGGGTTATTCATCCTGTTGCACCTTATATTTTTATCCTAATTTTTGTATCCATGCATATCACAAATATTCTATGTTATACCATTATACCATTGAAAACTACATAGAAATTATTTTTACCATGAAAACAGGTTTTAGAGATATGAATTATTGGCATTTTCAGTAAATACAAATTGGAGTCATTTTTTGTAATGGTTAATTCTGCTGAGGTGGTAGTATGTAGATTTTCAATGGGATTTTAAGGATTGCGGTAAAAATACTCATATTAGACTTCTTGCATATAATTAATAGTAGGATTGTAACTTCTTACCATACTATGAAACACATTAATTTTCTTGAAAGTGTAAAAAGGCCCATTTACAAAAAACATGGAAAATACTCTTCAAAATAAGTATTAGAGAGTAAATAGTAAATAGCAGAAAGTATCATTATAAGTTGACATTTTTTTCATATTTTTATCTCATAGCATATCATAAACATCATAAACAGATGCTACATTTCAGATTTTTTAAAATTAATTTTTTAGGATAAAAGAGGTAACATTTTTCTTGGTAGATTGATGGAAACGACTGTAGTAGTAGCAGCAAAGAAAACATGTCTCCATCTTCTGGATCACATTCTATACAGTATATGCAAAAATGTATAAGCGAATTCTTGCAAACATCCATAAAACAATGGGTTGCTGGCATATAAACCCTAGTAAGCCCAATCATCTATTGGTGACGGGTATTAAGAAATGGATTAATTCCATTTTCTTTTCTTTCATTTCTCCTTTAAAGTGGTATCAAAGGGTATTGGGTGGAGCCAGAACCCTCATACAAGTAAGGATTCCCTTTTATGGCATATCTGTTTTTCTATCTTCCCTCCCATCTTTCACATTCTTTTCTCTTTCTGACTATCTTTTCTTTTTCGTCCAAACATCCAATGGCAGGGAAGCTTGGACGATTTCCAGCGATCTAAACTGATATCTTCCAGAAAGCTGTTTTATTTACTTCATATGCTCTAACATGGAGTTGAACAATCCTTTTCAAGTTGAGGAAATATTTGGATGGTAAAGCAATGGGCAGTTATAAAATGCAGTTGAGATAGAAAGAAATCTATTTTAAACCTTAACTTTAATGACCTGCAGTAAATAATTTTTCAATGGATAACTTTATGCTAAATATTCCAAAAGACAATTAAATGGTTCCACAAAATTTTGATGACAAATTATGCCACTGAACTTTGTTATTTACTGAGGAAGAAAGTCAAATAACTGCATCAAGTTATGACAGCTGCATGATACCACTGATTGCCCATCCAGATGTACCTGATGAGACACCTGCATCAGAGCTTTTCTTTTAATACAATATAGGCAATAGATGAGATAAAGAATTTTGGCCATACAGATGTTTCTGAACAGCAGTTCTCAGCATCCTTTATTGCTAACCATGCTGGCTAGGGTATTACAGTATAGAAGATTATAGCACAGATACTGGTTTCTCATTCTAGTTCTACAACATCAAGTTAATAACAATTTTTGCCATGGCCATCAAAGATTCTCCTCCTTTTTAAATTCATCAGGTATTTGCAACATTACAAAATTGTATGCATATAGTAAAGAAATACATGAGCAGGGAAACTATTCTGTAGTGTTTTAAAATAAACTGGGAAGTAATTATATTTATTGCTGAATTGTTAAAAGAACTACTAGTTAATGATACATTAAAGATACCATATGCTTTCTGCAATCTAATTATAAGAAATAAAGAAATTCAAGCATGCTATGATTCCTTGACCAGAATTTGATCGAACCAGCAACTTTGTTTATAATATTCATGGATCCCTATAGATATAACTTATGGGCATGTAAATGAAATGCAGTTATTTAAAGGAACATAAAAGATTAAGAAAACAACAGTCCAATATTTGACAAGTAAAAGAGAAAAATAACAACATATTAATGTATAACTTTATAACTTTCTTAGCTGTACCTATCACAATAACTTAACCTACTTAAGTCTTCTGTCTTCATCCTTTTTCCATGTTGAATAGTTGAGATGTTACAAACAAACAAACAAACAAAAAAAACAGACAACGTAGAAATTGATGCTTGCTAGTAGCCAGTCCCAGGCTAATACTTAGCACTTAAACTAACATATCACATAATATCAGAGCATAGAATTTAGAGGCCAATTTAACTTTGCTTTCACTTAGATAAGGCTGAAGGTATATATGATGATGCACAAAAATTGCACAGTTACTGCAGTTTAATACAGCTATGACACAAAATGCCACAAAACTGCAAGGCTGGTAATTTTAAGGAACCAAAAACTTGATGCTTGAGTACCCAAATTTCTGTCCCCTTCATAAATGGAAAATATGTTTATTGTTGTTGTGGTTGTGGTGTCCATCTTTTCCATTATTTGTATGGTTTCATTTCTGTTTGTTTTCACACTAAAAATATCTGAAAAGAAGCACAAAGAAAACAAATGTTACTTATTTGGCAAACTATGTCAATAAAAAATTATGATTTTTATGGTTCCAGTAGTCTCACATCTGAAAATAAGATCTGCAGTATAATCTGCTATTTATGTACTTTGTAGTAAGTCTCAATAATTTAAATCAATGTATTCCATATAAGCAGGTTCAGGCCTAAGAGTGTTAGTAATTTGATAGTAAATTTTATTGAATGCATAATGACTTTCTGTTGAATAAACTGGAATGTGAAACATGTACATAAATTGTAGAACAAAACACTCTATCTGTTCTGTGAGTCAGAAAAAATAAAATAGAATCCACTATAAATCTGATGTCTGATAGATTAGTTTTCAAAGAATATATATCAATAGTTTAATCATTGACTTAATAATAATCTAATTAGCTAAAATTAATGCAACTTTAACAGTGCAGTCATACTGGGATTTGATTTTGTAACATGATCACATTCCATAATGATGGAATTTACTCAAAAGAATAAAATCAAGTAAATGTTACCAATTTTAAAAAAACACCCGAATCACCCCTTCCAATTTCATTACTGTTACCCTAAAGTGTCCTTTAAACTCCCTAAACCATCAAATTGGGTGCTCCCAACTATTTTCATGACATCATGTGATCACCAGAGACCATAAGTTGTTGTTAATATGTTTCTTTCAGTTTTGCATTTAGTAACAAATCGCTGTTTAGCAGATTATTGGACATTGAGATGATAAATGATATGAAAATTCATTAATTTTATGTAGGCTAAATTAAAACAAATTTATTTTCTATCAAAGCTTGCTCACCTCTTTTTCAATCAAAGCTTGCCTATCTCTTTTCTATCAAAGCTTGCCTGCCCATCCACTTTGGTAATATGAATTTAGCAAGCCATTCTTCCCTTCTCCTGATGAAGTCTTCACATCACTAACTACTGTTTGATACGTTGTTAAATCAGATTTCTGTGTATCATGAGAAATTGCCAGAGGTTGTAAGCCCCTTGTTCCACTATAGTCTTAGAACGAAAGCTACTCAGTGCTGAACATATTCAGAAATCATAAAAATATTAATACAATGTACATTCATCTAATCAGAAAGGGGACTGAAAAGGGGTAAACACAAAAAGCAAAACAGAAAGAGACAATAAAAGAGGGAATCTAAGAAAAGAGAAAAGAGTAAAGGAAAAAAGAGAAGAGCGTAAAAAAGTTTGATTGATGGAAATGAGGTGAGCAGGAGAAATCTAAGACCAACTGGACAGCAGAGAGCAAGTCAGACTGCTCAGAGAAAGCAGACTAGGGGAAGGGCATAAAAATAAATGAAAGTGGCAGCTTCGAAGATGGTTGGACGATAAAGGAGGCAGGAATGGGAGATTCTGTTCTTTTGTCCTGAGAGATGTCTAAATAGACCTATGTTGATAATATATTTACAATGGCTTTGAAAAATGTATGGGAATGAATAGATAAAGAAGTATATTTTGCCTTTGTGATCTAAACTGAAAGGGCTGCTTTGGCCCTTTTATGTCCTTAAAGAATAATGTTTCAATTAGCTTTCCTTGGAGATGTTTTTATCAGCTGCTGCTTTACTTCCATGAAATAGCGTTCTCTGATATCTGAATGGCTCCCCGTAGACCGGGTTTCTATGAGACCATTAAAACATGGTTACTCCACCAGCCTTTGTGAGCTTGTTCTCTCCAATATTGGAAGGTATTTCTTTGGGTTGACTCAATTGAGTAATATGATTCATAGTGCCAGTATTGTTTTGATATTATTTATATGCTCTGCTTTTACTATGTAGTTTTAACCTGCTTATGGAATTGAGATGTATGTTACCTAGAGTTTTTTTGTAATTACAACTGCCTAGAAACTCAGTAAAGCAATCAATCAAATATTTTAAATTCTTAAAACAACAAAAATATGAGGTAGCAAGAAAATAGAACACATTAGTAGAATTAAAACAGAGGTCTCATTGAACAAATAGATTTTAAGTTTATGCTAATATTTAATCTATCTTCTCTGAGATAGTTGCATAAGCTAATTTTTGCAAATGTGGCACATAATAAGATCTAGCAGTAGATCTGAGCCCTCTAACAGGTACATAAGGGAGAAAGTATTCTATCAAGTAATCATATCTTAAACTATGGCTGGCTTTCTATGTCATGACAAACATTGTGATTTTGATTGCCTGATATGTAAGAAGCCAATAGAATTATATGAATAAGCTCCTGGTAGATTGTCCAATTATCCAGTCTAGCATTTCTCACTAGCCAACCTCAAAGTGAGCTGATCTGGAGCACATCACTAAATTCCACTGTTGAGATTACTAGTGCATGAATTACTGCTACCAGTGCAACTCACAGGATTGCAGTAAACTTGTGCAAGCCAGGAAAGATTAAAGTGTAAAGCTAAACAATTAATTGCAGGATGCAAAGGAAACAAGAACTAAAGGTTTCTTCCGATGAGACATTGTCTGGCTTGGGGAGAAGGATAGATATGTGTGCAGGGCTGGTAGCAGACAGAAAAGCTGGAAATTCTCTCCAGAGGAAGTGATCCATTGAATTCAGTTAAGGTGAATCATGGTCTGGAGAGCAAACAAAGAGAAAAGCAAAGAGAAATACTTTGCATGTCTAGCCCAGAAAGAGGGAGAGAAAATGTTGTATGCAAAAACAGAGTGAACATATTTTCTAAGGAATTCATAGTGATGTAGAATGGAATTTTTAAAATATATATAGTGTAGTCATTAAGGAGACTCTTCAGGAATGTATGGAAGAAAAAAAAACTTATGATTATTCTTTGTGGCTCCTGAAAAACACCTCTAAGCCCTAAGAACAACAGGCAGCTCTACATCTACCTAAAATAAAACTGAAATAATCAAGACTTTTTACAGTTGCTCTGCCAATTATTACCTAATTAAGGCTCCCATCATAGTTAGAGTCCGTGTCTGAATTTCTACAAGGTGTACCCCTTCCTCATGCCTATCTGAGAAGCTAGATTCCCTCTGACAAGCTACTCTTGTAGCTTTTTTATTACAACTTCCAGCCACATTAAGGATACACTGGGTTTTCCACCATTTTCTTCTGGTATAAGCATACACTCTTTGTGCACCATTGTTCTGTCACCTCCGCCTATTTCAGGGGGAAATGGGGAAGATTTGAGGTAGAGTACATTCTAGACACTCAGCAAGCTTAACTATTAGATTCATTTGAAAGACCATCTGGCTACATAATATTCTTAGGGATGCTGCAAGGATATACACATATCCTTCTCCTTTGATCATTCCACTTGCATTTTTCTTGCAAACCAAAACCTTTGAACCAGCTGTTCAAGGAAGTTTTAGTACTTGCCAGTAGTTTTGGATGCTGAGAAGGGAAAGTGGGACAAGAGGAAATTACATGAGTGGAGAGAGAGATTGAATGACTGTATCACACAAAAAGAGGAACAGTTCTAAAAGATTGAGATTGCTGCTGAGGAAGGAAGGGAGAAAGGGAGGGAGGGAGGGAGGGAGGGAGGAAAGAAGGAAGGAAGGAAGGAAGGAAGGAAGGAAGGAAGGAAGGAAGGAAGGAAGGAAGGAAGGAAGGAAGGAAGGAAGGAAGGAAGGAAGGAACTTCCTGCCAGGAAATTTGACAATGGTGAACAATTCAGAAATGGTATAAATCTGCTTAAAGGAAAGAAATAGATACGGAGAAAAGGAAATAAACTGGAAGAAGGAGAGGAATCCTCCAGTACTTCTAGGTACATTGGAAGGGAAGAAGTAGAAGTGGGAAAGGGGCATTTTGTACGAAATAAGCTGAAATAGATAACTGCATAAACATTCAACAGTGTCTTAGCTTCAAAACCACAGTTAGTTAATTAATTTATATGAAGAAGAGTGAGGAAAAAAAACTACTGGTTTGTGCCATTATGGGATAAGAATCACTTGTACATCGATACTGGCAATGGACAATCAACTGGGCAATACTCAGAGTTTCTCCAAGCTTTTTCATAACGTTAACCTTTATTTGGGAAGACAGTTGGATTCTGGGATGTAAACATAATAACTCTGTAGAAGAACCAGATTGTACCCTCCTTGTTCTGTTCTGTTTTTTACTATAATGCAGTTCCAGGCATAATTCCTTGGTCTCATAATGGACTTTATTCAAAGGGAAAAAATGGAGGAAAGAAATATTTATGGGTGTAAACAATAATAAAGATGGAGAGTCTTCGTGTTATCATAAATTACTTAAATGGGATCCAGGTCATGTGCAATTGCACCAATTGTCCAATTGAACCAACCTTCCTGATTCCTTGAGGCGATAGCCGGCAGATTGCTGTTTCATGTAGGGCTACAAAACTCAAGATTTTTCTGAATTTTTTTTGCTGTCATTTATTGATTGTCTGGATTTTGGTAGCCCAGGCCTGATAGCCCTATTTTAATAGATATTTTTTTATTCTGAAACATTATTGTGTGATTAGTGTAAACAGCTTTGTGATTGTTCAAAGTAGTACGCCATGTCTCATTATAAGAAAGTGTTAGTGTTTAATTTTTGAGTAGCAAGTCATGAAATCTTTCAGCATCCACTCCAATATCTGTTGTTATCTATAACCAATGACATCTAGAGACCACCAAATTCTCACTGGACCATTTCTGCAGTCCTCCATCCCTCCCTTGCAGACCTGTGGTAGCCCTAGGAATCTTTTGTGAGAGTTTATATTTTGATTTCACAAACATTAGCAGTTATACCAAAACCTTGAAAACAGAGGAAAGGTTTGAAAATAAATCATGGGAATATGTATTTTTTCTGAAAGCATCTGGCCTTTCTTTCCATCACTGTCATGCTGTCAGCTGTGGTAAAAGCACTATTTCTGCATCCTTTTATATCATCCTGGCCTGCTGACTTCAGCTCCCTAGAGCCTGCAGATTAAATAAAGACTTCACAAAGTTAAATCTATTCTTCTCTCTCACTTGACCATATCCACGGTTATAACTTGATTTGCTGCTATAAATTGGCTAGGA